GTGTGGCAGAGGGGTGGCGGGGGGGGGAAGCGGGGGGGTTTGGGGCAAGGGGAGGTGTGGGACCTCCCTGTGTGGCCCCGGGTTCAGCACCTGCCGGGCTGTCAGGGTGAGGCCTCCCCTCCTGCCTGTGCCTGAGCAGCAGAGGGCAGGGACGTGGGAGGACATCGTTCAGTCTGGAGGGGAAAACCCCCCAGCCAGCCCTCCTCTGCCAGTAGAACAGGATCCAACGTGCCTTTGAGTTCAGTGCCCTGAGAGTGCAGCTTCTGCAGGAGGACGTGGTTCAGGGAGAGCAGTGGGGAGCGTGAAGATGGGGAGAGGGTCTCTGCTTGGAGTCGCTCCCTTTGTTGGTGTGGGAAGGGAAGTCTTGGGGCTGAAACTGTGTGAAAAACCTGTCAAGAAAGCTACCAGTCAACGTGTTCTTGTAACATTCTCCCAGTCACCCTGATGTTTACTCTTTCAGCGTTGAATCATTGTACCAGTAAGGAGGTAGTGATGTGTACGAGAAGTATTTGTCCTAGAAAGCAAATTATTTGTGTTCTCCTCTAGTGACGAATTATGAGACAAGTTTTCAAGTGAGTGGCAGGCAGGAACAGCAGCGTATTTTGGTGACAGGACTAGAAGAAAAAGTCACCAGGGTTATTTCTTTCACATCTGTTATTAACTTTGAGATGTACCGCACCCGCAGGACATGGCTGTACACTCTGTAAATCCTCTGTTCCCAACTGAAATGAGTGGGAATTTTTAGTAGAAAAACTGCAGAGCTGTGCAAGGTCTTTTCTTCCTCTAGCTCCCTTTGCTTGGAGAAGGCAGGAGCTTTGCCTCTTGCTGCTGAGGTTGGAATCTGTCCTCTTATCTGCACCTCACTGGAGAAGGTGGATGCTGTTCCTCAGTAATGAGGTGGCAGTGCTGACAGGAGAGTTCATCGAAGAAATATTACCTATTTTTACTGATAAAAAGAATCTCATTTTTCTTTTTTTAAGATGCTAAACAGGACTCTGGCTAAAGGTAAAGTCCGTTTACATAGTTTGTTTTGGATTACTGCTTTTTTTTTCTTGAATCATGTGCTGACTGAGGGTCTTACTGTGTAAAAGTTGTCAAATTCTGTCATTTCTCTGTGTTTGTTGTTACAGATCATGGCGTCAGAACAGAGCCCAGCAACTTCCGTCATCAACAGGGCTGTCAAGATGAGGAAGGAGGTTGAAGCCCAGAAAGGGGTCTTAGCCTGGGCACTCTTTAGTGTGTCTCTCGCAGGCATGATATATACTGAAATGTGCATTAATTGTCACACCTGAGTCAAACAAGCAAAGCCTCCTCCTTTTTATCTCCCTAAATATTTCCTGGCACTGAGTATTTGCAAAATGCTAACTTCTTCTTTTTTTTCTTTCCAGGACTGGAAAACTCATAAGCTCATATTACAACGTGACATGCTGGTCACTCTGGTATATTGGTGAGTTGCTGCAGCATTTGAATTAGTTTTCAGGGTTCTTTTCTTTTCTTCACTTGCTGGAAAGGTAGACTTTAAAGTAGCTTCTTTTTTTTTTTGGGGGGGGGGGGAATTTTTTGTTTTAAATTTAAATCAAAACTTTGGGTTTCTGTCTGCTGTCTCCCTTGAAACTTGGAAATTCATCTGTGTTAGTGACAGGTGTTAACAGCTTTCTTAGATAGGAAGAACTTACTTGGTGCATTAAATCTGCTGACTGTGTAGAGGAAGGCTTTGGGAAACACGGCAGATTTTCCTGTTCTATTGTACCGTGGGTGTGGATGGCATTTCACAAGAATTCAAGTTTGTTTTGGAGGAGCAGACTCTAAGCCAGCTGTATCAAATATGATTAGAGGATGAAGCAAGAGGAGGAGAAAAATCATGAGATGAGTGACAGATGATTTGGCAGAGGATGATTTTTGAGAAATACTGTGAAACTTCATTGTAGTAGATTTGGAAAATGACTGTCCATCTTTAAAAGTTCAATTTTAGCAGTATCAATTAATCTCAATACAGAAAGGAAAATTATCTCCAATGGTTCAGGCATAAAAAGGGAAGAAATCTTGGCTATTGCCCAAATTGGTACTTACTGACAGTACTAATAATTAAACCTGGTTTTAATGGGCATATGCCCGTTTTTGCAAACAAGACACTTTGGTTATTCCCTGTGCTCAAGCTACGGTAAAAACTTCTCTGTTTCTTCTAGAACTCGCACTTGCATCTCTGTTCAGCCTGAACGCCGCCTTTGATTTCTGGGTGTGCTTCAAATACACAGTGGCACTGGTCGTGAGTCCTCCTCGCCAGCAGAGCCTGCTGGGGTTGCAGAATGCAGGTGGGTGCAATAAATATCCCTGGCAATCTTTTTTTATTCTTTTTTTTGTTTCAAGACGGTGTCTTTCTCAACGGCAGGATTCTCTAGCGAAGCGCGATGTGAATCGCCTCCTCTGACAGGAGCAGTAAACTGAATTACCCGCAGCCTATTAAAATTCACCACATCAAGTGATGATTTGATGAATGTTTGTGGGGAGAACTGGAGGGGAAACAAACACAGACAGTGGAAAAGGGCAGGATGAGAGCCGCTGCTGAAGGACAGAGAGGGGCTTGAACACTGTGAGATTGGGCAAGGAATTTATGACTTGTCCATGGAACTAGGAGCCAGGCAGAGAATGCAGGTTCATATTTAATTTTGATGTCCTACTAACTGTCACGCTGGGTAAGGAGAACCAAAAGAGAGGGACAGACAGACCTTTGTGTGAAGTGTGAAAATGAGCCTAGAGAGTGGTCACTCAGAAAGCTTTTGAAGATCAAAGCAAAGGTCTAAAAAGAACCTGACAAGGCAAATATACCAAAAGTAAAATGCTGACACGGTAGTATTGCGCTCTGCTTGTCTACCCTAGAAGATGAGAAGCAGATGGTTGCAACGCTGTAACACCAAGGTTCGAGCATCTCTCGTATCTCCTGTGTTTAGGTCAGTTGAGACATTCAACGCCTCAAGATGCACAGAGTAGGCAGGTAGAGGAGCTGATGAAATAGGTGATGGAATAGAGAAACCCCTGGGTTACGCAAAGGTGCCTGGTAACACTGAAATGAAATCTGAAGCTGCAGGATTTGTGCTGAGTTGTGGTCCTGTGTCTCAGTCTTCTCTTTTGTCTGTCAGTGGCTTGACTGCCGAGTTCTGTAGGGGCCAGATTTTTCTAGCATCCCTTCTAGCATCTTTTTTTAATCACCTTAAGCTAGCTTTCTGTGTGCGTCTACAGCGGGGAGGAGAGTTTGTGGCTGCTGCATCTGCAATGCTAATTCTGTTTTTCCTTCTTGCAATGTTACAAACAACTCCACCACGTGAGCTGGCGGCACCTTCTCCTCTGCTCTGGGGCCGGAGTGTGCTGAGTTACAGCCCGTCCCGCCGCCCTTGCGCCTGCCCACAGTTTGGTACTGGTTGTGTCCCGGGGTACAGCCCCCAAGGACGGGCTCTGTCAGGCGGCAGCGCCTCTTACGGCCCTGCTGAAACCTATTCCCTGAGCAGCAGCTCCAGTCAGGTAAGGACCAGGACAGCTCCCAAGGATGCAGTCTGGGTCTTTGCTTGGTGCCCTGTTCCGCTGAAGGGGACCAGTAGCCAGCGGAGAGTTGTCTATGTGTGTGTTTGCTCCTTTTGCAAAGCGGATCTAAATTTGTCGTACTGGGATTTGTCCTTCTTCCCTAGTGCCACTGCCTTGGGTTTAGTGCATCTGGTTTATTTCAGAACAAGGCAAACCCCAGCAATCAAAATGTAAGTGCAAAGGAGACCAAAAATCCCAACTCAGACCCCAAACTTTTATGTTCATGTTGTTTAGAAATCAAGGTGGAATTCTGTCTTCCTTCTATGACACAACCGTTTGTTTCTCTTTGCCCAAGGTTTCCAGCTCCTCTCCCAGCGGGTCACCATGCCCCACTAGCGCTGGGCCAGTGGAAAGCGGCGGGGTAAGGTCTCATTGCGGCTCTTCCGCCACTCTGTGTAATTCTACGGGCGCAGAGGAGTATTTGACAGACCTCAGGGCACTGCATGCCTTCCTTTGGAGAGAGGAACAAAAGCGGCAGAGAAGTCAACTCGGTAAAAAACAAACATTTGATGGGAAAATCTTGGTCAGGAGAAGGGGGTGGGTTTGTTGGAGATTGGCTTTTACGGATGAGAAAAGTCGCAAAGGATTCCAGTGTAGCCATACTAGTTAGTGTCAGAAATTGTCACAGCCCCCAAAAGCTCCTGGTATTCTCTGAAGTTCTTACACATACTTAATGGCCCTTTCCATAGGTTTGGGCACAGGTGACGATGCAGCGCCACCTCCTTGGTCACCTGGATTCCTGGACCATGAAGTTCAGAAATGTAAGTCCCGTCTGGGGCTGAGACATCCCGTCTCTGTGACAAGGTTTGGTTTTCCTTGCTGGAACCCAGACTGCTAAATTGGTATTTCTGCAGTATTTCTAACTCACTCTCCGGGGCTCAAAGCATGCAAATTCCAACCCAAAGGCTGGGGTTTTTTTTCTGACTGTCCCGAGCAGCGTAATAAAAGCAAAAGGAAAAACCTCGATCTCAGTTAGCAACAGCCCTTGCTGGAGCAGGGCAGACTGAATTGCACATGCTGGCAAAATAATTAGTCAATCGAGCTTTGGATTGCACCTTCACTCACAGCATCTATCAGGTCTGTAGTTCTGCTTGTGTGTTTTATGTGGGTTTTTGGTTTTTTGGTTTTTAATGAGTGGTGAAAAGCAAAGATGAGTATGACATCCATGCCAGATTGCTGAGCATCTGTTCCTAAACCCAGGGCCAGCACGCTTCAGTTCTCAAATCCCACACAGAGTGTTTATCAGCTTCTTGATTTCCTCAGACAAATGTGAGAGGGAGTGGCTTCGTCAAAGTATAAATTTCCTTTATGGGTGGAGGGCTGTGTTCATAATGCCCCTTTCCTGACGGTTCAGAAAAAGCTTCAGAAAGAAAAGCTTTATCTGATACGTTCTGGAGATGTGTTTTCCCAACTCCTTTATTTGAATTTTATGGTCTTTCAGACCTTTAGTCCATTTCTCTGCTGAATTTTCTGGTCTTTTAGAAAGTATTAGAGAGTCACTGAAACTCTACCTAACTTGATATTCCAATTGAATTATTTTACTCCTTGGCTGGCTTCAGTATTTCTGTTGTTAAATTCCTTTGTGATTGTAATGGTGACGATTAGTAGGATGTAAGATAAAGTTTGGGGGGTTTTTAAACATTTTTCTTGCTTCTGACCTCTTGAATTTTCACCTTTTTCTTTACTAGTGGATTAATGAGACTATTCTAGTGCCACTTGTCCAACAAATCAAGTCTGTAAGCACTCAGCTCCCAAGAATGGGGTGTCCAGAAGTTGCAGACTGCAGGTAGGATGAGGCTTTGGAGCTCCCTTCTTCCTCACCTTGCTTCCTGCCCCCTTTGCCCCCCCTAACCCTTTGCTCCCCCTCCACACCTCTTTGTTTGCTTCCCCCCCGACATTTGCTGGGCTGGAAATTCTCACTCTCTCCCTACAAACTCTCCCTCTCTCCGCTACTATGCCTCTTGCCAAATGCTGCCCTCAACAACTGATTTGGACAATTCTCATCAACTCCACTTGTGGTTTTTCTGCCCCTAGACAATTCTCAAACTACTGCTGCTCTTCTTGCTTCAAATCCAGATGAATTTCAAATCCTGGTGAATCCAGCACTTCACCCACAACTCCATTTCACAGGCTGCCTTTCAATTACCCCCACCTTTGGGGGCTCTTTCCTGGGTCCCCTCAAGAGCCGCAGCTCCTGCCGTGCCTCTAGAGAAACTGGCCAGTGCCGCTCTCGGCCCCGCTCTGTTACTCTCCCTCTGCTCTTCAAAGGCCACGTTGGTTCCTTGTAGCTTCTATATTCTGTCGTGGCAAGACGACATCTCCTCTTCCTCTGGAATTGGAAGGGCTCTGAGATGTGTATAAGAGACAGCTACGCAACGTCCAACACCGCTGGCACTGGTCCCCATGGAACCCCACTGACCCAACGGGATTCTCTCTGCAAATGACGCCAACAGGATTTTACCCTGCTCCTCAAAAGACTGACTGGCTGCTCCCTCCAAAGAACCTGCACTGAAAGGCAACCCGCTTTATGCTGTTGTATCGAGATGGCTTCCAACACTTACAGAGGAGTTGGTAGGCAAGAGGGTGTTCCACTGGCAGCTGTTGAATTCCCCTCCTCCGTTCCATCGGAAGGAACTCAGGCATCCTCCCCGAGAAAGCTCTGCAAGCAACAAGATCCATGCAGTTACTGGGGCTTGAATGG